TTTATCATAGGACAGAATGCTGCAAGTTAGTTCAAATTTGAATCGTGATATTAGACACCGTTAATCTCAAATATTAAAAACTTTAAACAAGTTAGTTGCTGCGAAAATTCACTGAGATTTATCATAATCATTCATAAAACCCAATGTTGATGAAAAAACAATTATCTTAACACATTAAGGTAATTATCTATCCTAAATACTTTTAATACACTATGACAGTGAATAAATGTAATTAAGTCACATTGACATTACATTCATTACATTAATGAAGTACAACGAGTTCACAAGTAGTTTTACAGTGTATTAGTATAGAATGAATGAAAAATATGGTAAAATATAGGCGAGANATGTAATGAAGTACAACGAGTTCACAAGTAGTTTTACAGTGTATTAGTATAGAATGAATGAAAAATATGGTAAAATATAGGCGAGATAATTATTTTACCATGTACTGAAATTAGATCCTTTAAAATGAATTAGTTTCTATCACAAAGATTGGACTTTGAACAAATGTCTATTTGTTAAGAAATAAAAAGTAAAGGATTTTTCGTGTTTATAGTAATTCATTTCCAAGATCAATTTATTATTATAGTATTAGCAGTCTACTCTAAGAATTGTCGTCTACATATTTGGAATATCTTCAATTTTATTTAGTTTAAAATTTTTCATCTCAAGTTCAAAGTCTATAAGAATCATGTGTTATTCTAATAAACATCACATAGAAAATATAATCGTACTACGCTTGGGTTGGCAAAGTTGGATTATATTAATAAAAAATACTGATATAATTATAAATTAACTGTAGCGTTAATTTATAAAATTTGAATTAATATTTTTTGAAATAGAATTATTTTTAAATAAGATTTTTGGTTTCCTAAATTGATTTAAGTAGACCTTTTTTATTTAAATTTCATTATTTTTAACGATATTCTGATTTATAATAAATTTATCATTACACCGTTCCAACACTAAAACTTCCAAATGAATGTGTTATTTGTGTAGATCATATACGTGAAAGAATTAAAATAATTTTGGATTCAGCTTGCAAAATTTCGAATCACGTCATGTTATAGAATAAAATGTGTTCTTTATTCAAACAGTATTGTTATTTTAAAGAAATCCACAAATAAAATTGAATTTGTTTCCTTTGGCTGTCACTGATAAAATTTGGGTTGTTCTATCGAAAATAACAAAAGTACAACAAATTAATGTTTTTTTTATTTTATACTGCTGAGTTACGCCAATTTAGTCTGTCAGAGCTTAGACGTGTACCAATTCGTTACTCATTGATTTCCAAAAAACTCTGTTAAATTCTTATTTATAAAAATCATAAATGTTCTAATAAAATAATTCACAATGAATAATTTTTTTAGGCCTGGCTAGGGCTTTATATTAACGCCGGCTATTTATAACATCATGATATGAATAAAATGTTCCAACGAACATAATTCAACGTCGAATTTAATTAAAATTTGTATAAAACATACATATTACAATCAACCAGATTTATTTGATAAATGTTTAAGAATAACTTATCATATTTGATAGAATCCTTATTTTAGAAGTATTAACGTAAGCTTTTGGGTAATAATGAACATTTTAGGAAGAATTGGATCATTTTCAGCAAACATTACCTGGAAACTAACCCTATGGATGACCACCTATGTCTAAAATACATATGCGTAGAAATTGGTGATATTTAGTTTTGTGCACAGTCGATTTTCTTGTGATGTGATAGTATGACGTAGGTATTCTTTCAAACGAGTTATAGATCATTACTTCGTAAATATCTGTAGAGAATTTATGTATTGTAAATCAAAAGTTGAGGGTTAATTTCTACTAAGGATTGAAGATACAAATTCAGTAAAGTTTAATTTTCTATTATGATAGCACACACACACATATATATATATATTATAATTTTTGAATAACACTTTTGATCTATTTATTTAAAATTTACTCTTCTTATTAATTGGAATCCAATAATAATTTTGTTTTCAAATTAACATAGTATTTTTTAATATTATAATTTAGATCATTATTTTTAATAATACATTTTTATTTTGTCAGACTGATGTATAGGACCCATATTCCACAACAGAGTATTATTTATCTATTTATTTTTATGTAGATAAAATGTTGCTATACATTACTTCACTTTTCATCTTGTCTTGATTTTGAAATACAAATGTCTGGAAGAGCAATGTTATAAAACATTGTAGACTTATCAACATTTTTCGATTTAGTCTATTTTTGATGTAATAGTATAAAAAAATATGTAGTTTACATTTAACTTGAAAAAGTTATCTTACATAAAAACCTGCACAGTACAATTTTTTTTTAAATTAAAATCTTTTTACTGATTTCGATTAAAAAAAATTATTAAAACTTTTTCTTTTTTTTTTTTTAGGGAAATTTTATTTGACGACAAAGCGAAGGTATCAACTTTAATACATCGCCGTGTGTATAAATAGATATTATTCTATATACTTATATAAAAATAAATTCCATTTAAAATTTTCTTAACTCGGATGTAAAATAAAAAATAAAATTGAGCTACAATTTATAAGCCCAATTATTTCTTATGATCAATAAAATGTGTTGCACGTTTTATTACTAGAAATGATTTAGCATTTTATGAGTTTATTAGAAACAATTTATATGAAACATTTTATACCTAACAGTATATTATGTTGTCTATACAATATATTTAAGGGAATTAAATCAAAATCAAACTCACAGATTTAGTATTCTGTCCATTTAATTTTTATTAAAATATTTTACACCATCGTATATCAAATTTTTATTTAACAGCTCAAAAAAACATATAATTGTTCATTTAGTTCAATAGCTTTCTAAGAAAATGGGAAATTAAGCTAAATATTAAAGTAAAATAAAAAGTGATTACTTTTTATGTTTTACTATGAGGCTTAAATAAAAATTTTAATATAATTTAATTGTTTCTTAATACATTTTTAAAAATATGTAAAATTTGGAGAAAATTTTAAAAACATTGAAAGTGTAGTTAAAAAAAAAAGATTGCACACTGAATACTCGACATAGTTTGAACAAGTATAGATGATAAACGACAGTGATTAAAATCACTCTCATAAAAAATGCTTCAATGCAAATCTGTAAATAATGTTTAATTTTAAGAAGAATTTGTTGAATTACTCAAAAAACAACTTCAAATGTTATTTCCTTAATTACATCGTGATTACAAGTTTTACGATTATTAAGTATAATATATAAATAAACAGTTATTAAATATAGTATGAATTAATTTAGTTCTATCATTTTTACGGTGAAATATAAAGTTGTACTTTATTTTGTTACCTTCATATCGACATTTTAAGCAAGTCTGGGCAAATTAATGATTTGTTCTAACTAGTTAAAGTTAAGTTAGTCTTAAAAAATATGTAGCTAATCTATAGTATCCCAAAAATGATTTGATAAAGTAACTACACATGGTCATAACCTTACTTTATCAAGAAGAGAAAATGTATAGTGTAAATGTAATTGAAGGCAATAAAATTACCTAACGTAGTTTTAACCACACTTTAAAATTTATTTTTAAACAAATTTTTACTCAACCAAATTTAACTGAACATATAGGACTGTTAAAGATAGACAGATTGAATTAACAACAAAAATTGACTTCTTTAGTGTATTTTTTTTCTAATATTATAATAGTGTGATATCACCACTAGAATAGATAAAAAAAAAAAAAAAGAAAGTTATAAAATTATAATTTTCCACAGACTATTTCAAATTAAATTGAAATTTAAACCTAACATTTCTTTAGAAAGCCAGTTTCCTTTCTTTTAATATACTAATTTCGGTGGCCTTTTATATATAGAAGACAAGTCGGGATAAATTTTATTTTTTACCTATAGTATATAAAATGGGTTTTAATCTAGCGTATGTTTAAAGGCGTAGTATTTACAAAATATTTTCAAAAGTAAAGTTGAAAAAATCAATCTCTTAATGTATGCTAGTAACGAGTCAGATTTTTCAAAAAATATACACTAAATGAAAGGAAAATGCCTAAAGTGTATATAAAAGCAGTGCTCGAATTGGGGGGGATGGTGCGCAGGGGGACGTAGCTCCTCTACTTTTTTTTAATTTTGTTTGCGCACCCCAACTACTTTTTTTTATTGGGACAGGAGGACGGTGGAAAATACCACCTCTTTTTTTTTTTAAATATTAGTATGATAATGAAATATGATTTATTAATAAATACTAAATAAAGTAATGAGTAAAAAAAAAAAAAAAAGGTCTTCAAAATGCTAGGGACGCAGTTTTCAAATTGTTAGTTGAGCTCCCCTACTTATTTTTAGCCAATTCGAGCACTGTATAAAAGTATGTTATTTCAATTCATCTAATTTAAAAAGATTTTTAGATAAAAAAAATTAAAACATGTCGAAATTAACAGACTTTAACGTAAAGAGTACAGGTTTTTAAGGGTAATGTCTTCGACTAGATACGATTTGTGTTCTTTGACATACCATTGAAAAAATTGATCCCAGTGAGACCTGAGTAAAAGTAGTAGTGACAGACAGAAAAAAAATATAAACACATCATAGTAAAATCATTTTCTTTTCATCTTCGCATCGAAACTAATAAAACATAAAATCAATCTCGTAATATTCTTGCAGTACTTGTTGGGCCAAGAAATTTAGAATGATTAACATTTTAACGGAATTATATTTGAATTGAATCTATTTCGATTACACTCGTTTTATAAGTCAGGAAATAGCTAATATCCTTTAAAATGAGAAATCTTACTCTTTGTTAGTGAAGTAATAATTTAAGTGATTTTTATCTTACATATTTGACGACAAAAATAAATTGTTCACAAATACATATATTTTGAAAATACTGTACTCTTATCCGTTAGTGCAGAGGGCACCATCTGAAGAAGGTGAAGGGGTGTGGCGCATTTAGAATGAATCAGGGTCCGTATTGGCCGTTAAAGCACGTGACATCACCGCTGTGTTCATTCACTAGACTCCCGTACACCCACGCGCACCCTGTAGAGTCCGTCAGCAACCGCTATAAAAATCTGCACTAGGAGCTTGGCGCGGAACTTTCCGATCTCATAGTCAGTCGGGAATTTTGTTTCTATAAAAGGAAGTTACCAAAAAAATAATTTTTAAAGTAAATTTTCTTAACTTTATGTTTTGATCAAAACTGTTGAAATTTTCTATAAATTTCAGACAATGGCACGTCAATTTTCATTAATCGTTATCTTTGGAATTCTTACTATGTCAATATTCAGCCCTCAAACAACGGTCGGTGCACGATATCTACCGACAAGAGGGAACGAAGACCGTTTGACTAGATTGAAAGAAATGTTAACAGACGTAAGTTTTGTTTAATTTTATTTTGATTTGATAGATATTCATAATGAATACATTTATAAAAATATTATAATGGAATCATCCAGAGTTAAGTCAAAATCAACATATTGTTGTGGCGAAAACATTAAAAAACAAAATATATTAGAAGAGTATTTAGAAATTAAAAAATTGATTTAGCTTATAGATAAATATTGTGGGAAAGCTCGATAATAACAATAATTATGTAACTAATTACTGTCACACTTAAGTAGGCCTAGATAGCAATTAAAAAAAATAATGTTATAGAAACATTATTATAACATTATTTTTAATAAAATTTTATTAGAATAGGGACACTTAAATAAATATTTATAGTTTTAAATTATATCTATCAACCGCACTAATAAAAAGTTTACTATTATTGTTAAGAAACACAAAATATTTTATAACAAAAATTAAATGATCATATCTGTTAAATATTTAACTGTCCAAGTTTAATCACCACCCCAAGTTAGTCCATTGTTGTTATCAAAAATAATTTATTTTATGATTTAGAAAAGTGAAGTGACGCCTAAAAGAATCAAATCTTTTGTATATATCTAAATTCTTACCCAGAGGTTGTTCTAAGGATTTAAAGTTTTTTAAAGAACAAAAAAAATTTTTTAATAGTTGACTTTATATATATTGGTGTATATATTTTACTAAATTTGTTTTCTAGTAATGGCTCGTAAAATTTTCTTCTTGAGTTTTAGTTAATAAAAATAGTTTAATTTTAATATAACTTTGATTTAAAGAAGTTATCGTTAAACTACGTGTATTATTTAAATTCCATTAATTAGATTCAATCAATCGAATAATTAGAATATTCGTTAATATTTTTAAATTAAATTTTAAATGTTTATTTAACAAGAAATTGTTGTCATTTTGTTTTTTTATTTGTATTATATATATATATATATAACATTTTCCATAAAGTTATTTAAAATAGAAACGTAAATACAATAGATCTTGAAATGTATTTTAGAATGTAGGATTAATTTAACTGACAATGCTGAGTAGAACAAAGTTATTTATGGTTACATGTTTTAAGTTGAGTTACTATAATATCCTTTCTTTAATGTATCTAGAACTGAATTGGTTGTAACAGGAAATAAAGCTACAATCTAATGCTGAGTATCTTTTATGGCCGATTGTGTAAAAACCAATAAGATGGTTATGTATTAAAAATACTACTGTAAAATAGTGTGCTTTTATTACCAAGAACATAGACATGTTTATTCAATAGTAATTAATCCAAATATATATTTAAAATGAAATTTCAACTAAAATTTCAACTAAAATATAAACTCAACCGAAAATTTTCAGTTGATTGTATGACATTTTTAATCAAATATTTAAAAGCCTAATTTTTATTAATGAAAAAAAAAATAATTTTCCAATTTAAAAATAAACAAATTTTAAATCAAGTAGATGCAAATCAAATAACTTTCAATGATTATAATGAGTTAGATTATACATTCATCGTCTCATTTGTTTTTGTTATTAATAATTACCTGAAAATGTAAAGTGAGATAATAAAATTTGTACTTTTCATTTGCTTTAATTATTACTCTTGTTTAATTTTAACACCAAAATTATGATAGTTTACACAAAGCATTTTTTTTTTTTTATGACAGAAGAATACTGTCGTCATTATAGCACAGATCTTCTGTCCATAAAATTTTCTGATTTATAACAAAAGTTATTTTTTAATTACGCCTGGTAGTAATGGAATGTACCTAAAAGAATCATTCGACGATGTATGATGTGTTGCATCATGACACGAGTACAAATACATGTATACATATTACAAATGGGAAAGATAATGTATTGGATTAATAATTTGAATCGCAAAAAGGAATTGAAAAATTGTTCTTTGTTTCGCCACTTTTTAGTTAATAGCTTTTTTTATTATTAATTAATCATCTTTATTAACAATTCGACTAAACTGTTATGATTTATTATAGTACTGCACATATATGTGCATAACTATATGGAAATTATGTGCAAACAGTTTGAATTATTAGTATTGCAGTAAAACATGAAAATGTTCTTCTATACAAACAGATAATATTTCAAGTTTTATAGATACTTGAGATTTTCAAAAAAGTACATCATTCATATAAATTATAGACAATATCGACAATCGCACAATTAATTAACCAATAATAAAACTGTGACGATAAATCCTTTTAACTATTAAAGATTTATTGACATCTATGAATTGATTCTGTAGATTGTATTTTTATAGTCCATTGTTATACGACATAATGTTTTATTTTTGGCGCGACACTGCAGTTATTTATGCAAAGACATATACTTATTTTAACACTTGAAACCTCTGTGGTTAATTTTCAAAAAAAATTATAATATTTGTAATAAATAAAATAATTTTAATAAATGTAAAGTAAAATCTAATAAAAAAAAATGATATTGCAAACAAATATTTTCGCTAATCATAACTTATTTTAACGAAAATACTTTTTTATTGCTTTCACGTTTGAGATAATAACACATTGAATAAAATTAATGATCACATATTATTATACAAAATTACTTCAACATACATAAACCTCACAGCTGAAATTCTTTGTTTGCTTTGCAGTTAGTGCGGCTATAATAATATTATCATGTAATAAAAAGAAATAGTACATCGATAATAGTTAATACATTCAATTTCATACTGATAAATTTATTTTAAATGGGTTCATATATATATAACAAATATATGTTATTCAACTTATTTATTTTATAATGGAATCAATAATAATTTTATAATTTGTTTAGATTTTTCACAAAAAATGTTAATTAAATTCTAATTTTAATAAAAATGTTATTTATTGCTATAATTTTACTAGCTACTTTTATATGAAACATGAATAAAAACCCCCCAACTTCAAGCTTGCTAATATTTCATATAGCCATTTTAAATAAAATCAAACTTAATATCAATAATCTTTATAGATATTAATATTTTTAATTTAACTCAAATGATTAACTAAATAAACAACAATATAAAAAGTTGTAATTATTTTTTCGAGAAATTGAATACATGTTAACTAAATGCAAATTTTTAATCGTTTATCTTTCATCTTTTCGTTTTGTTAAAAATATTGGATATGAACAGAAGTATTACACAAGTGATACACAAGCATAATTTCATAATTCTATATGAATAGAAATTATTTTGAGCGATAAAATTCACCTGTTCTTGGAAATACACATTTAATAACTGAATTTAAGAAAATGATTTTTTATTTAATTAACGTTTCGCCTATGAGAAAGCGTCTGATAGAAGTTTGATCAACATCAGTTATAACGGAATAAATCTTCTAGTAAAACTTCAATAACGGGTGAAATATATAAGAGTAAAATCACCTTGGATAAATTACACGGGCCAAAAAATTCTAATTATTTATGGGTAACTGAAAACCAGGAAAAAATGAATAACTCACGACGACTGCAATTAACAGTGTTTTCATCTTGTTATTCAATTAATTAATATCATATTTTGAAACTTTATTTATAATTAGTCTACCGACTTACGTGTAGTATATTTAATTTTTTTTGGTTAATTATAGACATGATTTGAATTAGTAAGTAACTAATTTATTTTGCATTAGCCTTTTGGTCACTTTTACTGTAATATATACCCTAGAAGTTCACTTGACCATACAGATTACGATAAAAATGACAGATTCATTTTTTTTAAGATATTTATTTTTATATTTTAAATTTAACAAAAGATAAATCTTAAATTTAATAACTTACCACAATAAAAACGATATTTCTTGATTATAATGTAAAAGTTGTAGTTCTGGAGTATACGACAGCTGACATAGATAAAGTGTATCAGAAATTGTCTCAGCTTAATTAATTTTACGATATAAACGTAACACAACGTAGCGCTGATTTTAGTAATCTTATGTCATACTAAAATCAATGTCAAAATTTAGAGTTTAATTTAACAAAGTATAATTCATAAACACAAGACCTTTTTTTTTTACATTTTAATTTTCTAGAGTGACTCAACTGTACAGCTATGAATATTTTTTTAGAGTGAACATTAAGTTTTAACGCATTTAATGTTTACATTAGATTATGAAATTTAAAAATATTAGTTTCTTCTTTAAAAACTATCTATATTAAATAAAATGAAAAAGGTTTGGAAATGTGTGCAATTTTTTTTTAATTTAAGGTTCAAAGAAACGATCATTTTGAAATTTTGATTTTAAGAAAAAAAAATTGTGAAAATTTAGAGTCTTTTTTTTTTAATATGTTTTATTTTTTTTATGTAAATGCCTAGAAATGTATCACTGAAAAAATACTTTTCTTCATTTTAAACATATATTTCAAAGTTATTTTTTATAGTTAAGTACATCAAAAATTTTATAAAATATAACATGGATGAAAAAATGAAACGTTCTAGTTAAGTTAAAAATACATAATTGTATATAAAACATAGAATGTAGTTGAACTGTGTTAATGATTAGCATATTTTCACTTCCTGTAGACGTTGTCATTTCTTTGTCGTAATATTATTTTTCCTCGCACAACAATTAAACATCATATAAGCACATTAAAATCTTGTGATTTTCGGCATAAGATTATTTTATGTGAGCATCAACTACATTAATTACATTATCCAACTTATATAACCTCAACAATTTCTGAATTATAACATCCACAAAAACTAAAAATTCTTTTTAAAATTTGAATGAAAATGATTATGTGAGAAATAAATAATTGAAAATAAAATAATTGTGAGAATTTAAAATCGAATTTGATTTGTTAAAAAAATATGTTTAATATACATAAATTTTTTTATTTAATAATTTTTGATCGAAAGCAAGAGAACTATACATTTAAAAAAGTACAATTTATTAAAAAGCAATTTAGCTTTAAACCTGATTTCAAATTTTATTTAAAACGTATCTCAAAATTTGGGTTTAGATTAAACTTGTAGGGTACCTTTTTTTTTATAT